TGTGTGTGTGTGTGTGTGTGTTCTAAGAGAGTGAGAGTTGATTGAGGGGGCGACACTGGCATTGTATCCCTCTTACAACGATGCTCAAGTGCGCAAGAGGCAGTTTAAGAGTGCTATGGAGATAATGAGAGAGTGTGAATGGGTTATGAATAGCTGTTACACATTTGCTTGTATTGCTCTGTTTGCTAACCTTTGACCTCTTCTCTCTCTCACTCTCTGCCCTCCCCACCCCCCCCCCATTTCAGTGTATTCTGGGATTTGTATTGTGCGGCTCCAGACCGAAGGGAGACATGTGAGCACTCCAGCGAGGCCAAGGCCTTCCATGACTACGTAAGTGACAGATGGGGCTCTGTATGCTGCCACTTTTTTTTCTTTTTTCCACACACTCAGGTTTTTGTTTCCTGTATGTAAAACTGTACATATTTCATCGTGAGGTCAAGTGTGTAGGAGAAGCTTGAAGCAGCACCTGAAGGACTTTTTGGACGAGCAGCATTATCAGTTTTATGGAGCAAACTTTAAAAAGTTTAAATGTTTCTCCTAAAATTACAGACACCAGCTCACTGGAAGCGATTTAAATTAATTAATAACCACCTTAGAAATCACAGTTTTGATTATTGACCCATACTGATGCCATTCTCAAGCACTTGAGGAAGAAATTCTGCTATTTTTTAATTCTTGCTGGTTGCCGAGGTCAGGGGTCAAAGGTTTAGGGGTTTGTAGGGGTTCCTCATCTTGCCTGATGATGCTTCAGCGTGTCTATTGTTTGTGCCGTACATGCTCAGGTCACTTGTAGATGGAGTCTTAACAATAACATCATCATCCCATCTGATATTACTGTTAAAAAGTGCCTTTTTTACACTGTAACTGTATCCACTTGTGTGTAAACGTCATGTGTTGTGGTTGACACTGTGTCTGTCTTCAGCCCCTCTGGACCGTGTGTGTGTGTGCGCGCCCGTGTGCGTCCGTGCGTTGTATAGTGTGGGGAGATAATGGAATAGAGTTCTAATCCGGTAATCCCGGCACTGGGCTGAGGCTAAGCCAGGGATTTGTGTGTGTTCGTGTGTGTGTGTGTATGTTTGTATTTTTGGACAGGGGGCATCTTTGGCAGCCAGCCCAAAGTGGGAGGGTGGAGGGGCTCACACCCTCAGTGCCAGCCAGCATGCCAGTTAACCCTGTGTCTTTTGTGTGTGTAGATGGGTGTGTGCTACATGTTTGCCTGTAGTCTGCTCCTAACAGTGATAAAGCGAAGGAGACGGGAAGGGTTTAATTTTGGCTCCGGCCCCCCGAGGCTAGTCTCTGAGCACAGGTCCTTTTCTACTAGTTTCAAAAGAACGAGCCGGTTTGAGGCATCGGCAGAAAAAAAATTTTCACCCGACCTCAAAAGAGTTTCTTAGTCTTTTGAGGATTCCTAGATTGCAAGCCAGCGTTTAAGAAGCATTATCACAGTTCTCTCTGCTGGGTGCAGACACGCAGCAAAGGTTCATGGTTACTGTTCAGCCGACTTTTTTTCATGTTCTGACACTGGATATAAAATTAATGCAGTGGTTGTTAGACTGTTACCTTACAGTGAATTACAGTTAGTAGATGTCAAGTTTTGAGTTCATAATTTCATGAGTGTGTAATTACTTTAAGCGTGTGATCCGCCACAGACGCAGCTTTGCAGCGTTCAGATATAGGCTGTTTTTCTTTCATATACAATTTCATATCAATATTTTCATCTGTTTTTAATTAAGATATCTATGACTTTTAGTTGAGGCTTACATGACTTAACATATCTTAAATATGGAATGTACTGGTTTTGTTTTTGAGGTTTTTTTAGCACTTTGTAATTCTGATCTGTCTATGAAATTATTGACATTTACAGTTATCTTTGTATTCGCACGGTTGACTTTGAGTTTGAACACAAGGAAAACAAAACATGGTTTATATAAACATTGTTTCATGTAGCAGAACGACAAAGCGTTCAGTTCATTTAAATGCATAAATGTTATATCCTGCAATAATTGATGATAATACAACATTTCATAAATTATTCATCATGTCATACAACAATTCATATGCTGGGTTGGATTATGTTTAATTTAAGTGTTTTAAAACCATGTAACAAAGTAAAGTTTTTGAAAAGTTCCAAGGTAGCAGTAGTGAGATTTCCACAAGATCATCCACAGAAGAGGTGTGTTTTATTTATTTTTTTGAAGGAAATTGGTTAGTGGAGGGAGGAAGAACAAGTGCTGACGGACAAGGAGGAGCTAATAGTATTTTTTTTGTAAGCATGACATGGGGAGAAAGTGGGGAAGTAGCATTAAGCAAAGGGCTGGGTCAGAACCGAACATGCAGCCACTGCTGGAGGACTCAAACCTGGATGGGTGGCTGCAGGGTGCCCATGTTTCCAGGCAGGGGTGGACTGGGACAATAATTCTAGCTGGGAATTTGACTCCTTTCCAGGCAATCCTTTTCACGCAAAGCGCCAGACCTGTCAGAATGTCCTGATATTGTCAGATTGAGACTCTGAGGTGTTGGACCGTCATTGTTAAGTGAAATTAGTCTGTGTAAACAGGTAGTTTCTCAATGACAGTCTGTTATTTTGTTCAATTTAAGTTTTTCTTCATTATAAAGTTTGACTAATTATTCCCACAGTGGTAATGAGAGATCATTAATATTTAAACTCTCAATTTTCTCTAAAATAGTTTCAGAGTAGTGATTTTTTTTTATCATTAATTTGATTATTTATCATTGATTCATTCAGTTCAATTAATCTGTGTATTTTAATTCATTAATTAATTAATTAGTCAGTTATCTCATTAATTTATTCACAGACTGAACAAAGCTGACGTTCCTCCTGATTTGAAAATATATAGTATTTCTTAATGCTTAGAAACAATGCGCACCGTGAAATGAGTGGAGGCTGCACAGTGTCATTGACTGACCTGGTCCCTTCATGGCGAACACTTACTCTGCAGTATTTAGCAGCATCTCTTAATTCTCCTCCTCTCTGCTCCACCTTTCCTTTTCTTCTGACCACAACCTTCCATTTCACCGGTCACTTGTTATACTATCTGAAGCAGTTGCACGTTTTCAGATAGCAGAGCTGTATTATCTTTGGCTGCTATGTGCGTTGCCGAGAGACGTCACGTCCCACGTCATTACGTCATATAAGTGGATTTGAAAGGTCCCTCACCTCATTCCTCATTGCTATATTATTCAAGTAATCAGTTCAGGGCCAAAAAGACCATCAGGCCACTGGGAAGTGTCCCGGTGCTCCAGATGTCCACCACTGCTACCAGGTGAGCTAGCACGCACTCTGCATACGAAGGTTTGAGTCCTCCTGCATCCAGTATGATCTTTTACTTGCAAATTTTAAAATGTGGCTATGATGACCACGATGGTGCAACCAAGCGTTTTACCATAGCAAGATAGATTGTAAAGACACAAACATTTGCCACCAGCACTGTGTCAACCTGCAGTGAGATTCTGATTCCTCTTGATTCCTTCATCACAACAGTCCTCTGTTTTTTTTTTTTTTATTAACCTTCGCTGTTTCTTTTAAATACTTCTTTATGCCTCTGCCCACGTAACTCTCACCCTCTCTTCTTTTTGTCTCTGTAGCATTTTGTTAAACCCGTTCACATCATGTTTTGTGGTTTCTCTGCGACACCCCCACATCTGCATCTTTCTTCCCTTCCCATCTCTCTCTGTTCATTCTCCTCCAACTCTCCACCTTTTTCCTCCCACCCTCCTTTTAATATATCTTTTACTCTCTCCTTAACCCAGCACACAAGTACACCCCCACTCATCTCTTCGTCTCACTGGCCTTATCGCTTACTCCTTCTATCCAACTCTCCTCCTCTTTTCCTCTCTCTCTCTTTCCCTCCTCCCTCCCTCACCACCACTACTACCTCTATTCCCGGGAGAAGATTGATTGGCTAATCTAGCTGTTTACCCACAATTCCTAGTATTGCTGAGAGGAGAGGGCAGTGTAGGCAACAAGAAGACACAACCAGGAGACAGTTGAGGTATTTGAAGATGGAGCTGAGTGGGCAAATGTTAGAGGAGAGGGAGGGGACTGAAAGATAAGTTTTAGTTGTGTGTGTGTGTGTGTGTGTGTGT